GTTAGGTTCTGACAAAACTCCCTTAAATTGAACGATCTGGTTTCGGAGGAATAAATAGTCCGTAAACCAGTTCAGTTCATTATCCTGTATTCCATAGCGAGACAGTTTTTCTAACAAAACGGAATGGCTGATGGTGTCAAACGCTTTAGACAAGTCAATGAAGATCGCTCCTGTAGCTTTACCTCCGTCCGCTTCCTTCCTGATAAGGTCTGTAAAGAGAGTTACTGCTAATTCCGTTGAGCGATTGGGGCGAAAACCAAACTGATGTTCAGAGAGAAAACCGTTGAATTCGAGATGTTTCATTAATTGTTTGTGCACCATTTTCTCTAAAATCTTGGACAGAGTAGGGAGAATGGATATTGGTCTATAGTTGTCAATTTCTGCCATGGAACCAGACTTAAAGATGGGAATCACCTTGGCCATTTTCCATTCAGTAAAGGCTTGTGTTCTAACGAGAACGTCACCAAATACCTTTTCTCGGTGTATTTTGCAACAAAAAAAATCGTTAACAAAATTTCAAATTTTTGACCAAAACTATTGACTAACCCTTTTTGAAAAATACGAAATTTGTGGGTTTCTGAAACCGATATTTTCATTGTCCAGAAAGGCTTGTTTGCTATATAAAACGTCGAAAATCGTTTTTTGACGATTTGTTTTCACGATCTATTACATGGGAATACAGGGGGTTACAAGGAGTTACAGGGGATTACAGGGGGTTACAAGGATTGACAGGGGGTTACAGGGGATAACAAGGCGTGACATGGGGTTATAAGGGGTTACAGGGGGTTACAACGTCAGCAAACACTTTCTTTATCTATATTTGATAAACACAAAAGATAAAAAATCTTCAACTTTTTGACAAAAATTATGGACTCTCCTCGTTAAAAAGAAATGCCAATTTTGTGTTCTTTTTAAATCTTTGTTTATACTGTCTAGAAAGGCTTGTTTTCTAACGAGAACGTCACCAAATACTTTTTCTCGGTTTATTTTTCATAAAACGAAATGTTAACAAAATTTCAAATTTATGAACAAAACCATGGACTAACCCCTTCAAAAAGATGCCAAAATTGTGGGTTTTTGAAACAGATTGTTTTCATTGTCCACAAAGGATTGTTTCCTATATAAAACGTCAAAAATCTTTTTCTTAAGATTTATTTTGACGATCTATTAGATAGGAATACAAGGGGTTACGAGGGGTTACAGGGGCTTTCAACGCGTCATATGGGTTTACAAGGAGTTATAGGGGGTTACAAAGGATTATAGAAACTTTTTTCTAAGTAGAACGTTCCCAGGTAGATTAATGATGGAAAAGAAGTAGTAGAAAAGTAATGATGGAGCAGTAAAGGTAGAACAGTAATGTTGGAACAGTACTAGTGGAAGAGCAATTGTGGAACAGTAATGGTGCAACAGTGTTGGTGGAACAGTAATGGTGGAACAGTAATTGTAGAACAGTTATGGCGCAATAGCAATCGTGGAATAGTGATGGTGAAACAGCAATGGTGGAACAGTTATGCTGGAACAGTCATTTTGGCACAGTCATGGTGAAACAGTCATGGTGGAACAGTTATGATGGGACAGTCATAGTGGAACAGTCATGGTGGAACAGTTATACTGAAACAGTCATGGTGTAACAGTCATAGTGCAACAGTCATGTTGGAACAGTCATAGTGGGAAAACCATGGTGAAACAGTCATCGTGGAACAGTCACAGTGGAACAGCCATAGTGGAACAGTCACGGTGGAACAGTCATGGTGGAACAGTCATAGTGGAACAGTCATTGTAAAAAAGTCCTGATGGAACGCTCATGGTGGAAAAATCATAATGGAACAGTCTTGGTAAAACAGTCATAGTGGAACAGTCATGGTAAAACAGTCTTGGTGGAACACTCATAGTGGAACAGTCGTGGTGGAACAGTCATGATGGAACAGTTATGGTGGAACAGTATTGGTTAAACAGTCATAGTGAAAAAGTCATGGTGGAACAGTCATGGTGAAACATTCATGAGAGAACAGTTGTGGTGGACAGTCATACTGGAACAAACATAGTGGAACAGTCATGGTGGAACAGTCGAGGTGGAACAGTCATGGTGGAAAAGACATGGTGGAACAGTAATAGTGAAACAGTGATACTGGAACAGTCATGGTGGAACAGTCATCGTGGCACCCTTATGGTGGAACAGACATAGTGGAACAGTCATGGTGGAACAGTCGTGGTTGAACAGTTATTTTTGAAAAGTTATAGTGGAACAGTCATGGTGGAAAATTCATTGTGGAACAGTCATTGTGGAACAGTCATGGTGTACCAGTCCTGATGGAACACTCATGGTGGAAAAGTTATGGTGCAACGGTCTTTGTGGAACAGCTATAATGGAACAGTCATGGTGGAAAAGTCATACTGGAAAAGTCATAATGAACAGTCTTGGTGGAACAGTCAAGGTGGAAGAGTCATGAAGAAGCAGTTCTGGTGGAACAGTCATAGTGGAATAGTCATGGTGAAAAAGTCATGGTGAAACAGTAATGGTGGAACAGTGATGGTAAAACAGTCATGGTGGAATAGGCATCGTGGAAGAGTCATGGTCGAACAGTCATAGTGAAACAGTCATGTTGGAAGAGTCATAGTGGAACAGTCATAGTGGAACAGTCATGGTGGAACAGTCATAGTGGAAAAGCCATGGTGGAACATTCACGATGGAACAGTCATGGTGGAACAGTCATAGTGGAACTGTCGTGGTATAAAAGACATGGTGGAACACTCATGGTGGAACAGTCATTGTGGAACAGTCATGGTGGAACAGTTATGATGGAACAGTTATGGTGGAACAGCTATACTGGAACAGTCATGGTTAAAAAGTCACAATGCAACAGTCATGGTGGAACAGTCATAGTGGAAAACTCATGGTGTTACAGTCATGGTGGACCATTCATTGTGAAAAAGGCTTGGTGAAACAGTAATGGTGGAACATTCATCGTGGAACAGTCATGGTGGAACATTCATAGTGGAACAGTCATGTTGGAAGAGTCATAGTGGAACAGTCATGGTGGAACAGTCATGGTGAAACAGTCATAGTGGAAAAGCCATGGTGGAACAGTCACGATGGAACAGTCATGGTGGAACAGTCATAGTGGAACTGTCATGCTATAAAAGACATGGTGGAACACTCATAGTGGAACAGTCATTGTGGAACAGTCATGGTGGAACTGTTATGATGGAACAGTTATTGTTTAACAGCTATACTGGAACCGTCATAATCGAAAAGGCATAGTGGAACAGTCATGGTAGAACAGTCATGGAAGAGAAGTTATGGTGAAACAGTCATAGTGCAACAGTCATGGAGGAACAGTCATAGTAGAAGAGTCATGGTGGAACAGTCATGGTGAAAAAGTCACAGTGCAATAGTCATGGTGGAAAAGTCATAGTGGAAAAGTCATGGTGACACAGTCATGGTGGAACATTCATGGTGGAACACTTGTGATGGAAAAATAATGGAAAAAATCATCGTGGAAAAGTAATGGTGGAACAGTCATAGTGGAACACCCATGGTAGAACAGTCATGGTGGAAAAGTCATCGTAGAACAGCTCATGGTGGAACAGTGCTAGTGGAACAGTTATGTTGGAACAGTCATGGTGGAACAGTCATCGCAGAAAAGTCATAGTGGAACAGCGATAGTGGAACAGTCACGGTGGAACAGTCAAAGTGGAACAGTCGCGGTGGAACAGCCATAATGGAACAGTTATGGTGGAACAATATTGGTGGAACAGTCACAGTGAAACAGCCAGGGTGGAACACTCATGGTGGAAAAGTCATGGTGATACATTCATGGGGGAACAGTTATGGTGGAATAGTCATACTGGAACAAACATAGTGGAACAGTCATTGTGGAACAGTAATGGTGGAACAGTCATTGTGGAACAGTCATGGTGGAACAGTCATAGTAGAAGAGTCATAGTAGAAGAGTCATGGTAAAACAGTCATTGAACAGTCAACGGGGAACAGTCCAACCGGAACAGTCATCGTGGAAAAGACATGGTCAAACAGTCAGAGTGGAACAGTCACTCTGGAACAAACATGGTAAATCAGTCAGGATGGAACAGTCATCGTGGAACAATCATGGTTGAACTGTTATGGTCGAACAGTCATAGTGGAACAGTCATGGTGGAACAGTCACTTTGGAACCGTTATGGTAGAATAGACATGATGGAGCAGTCATAGTGGAACAGTCATAGCGGAAAGGACATGATGGAACAGTCATAGTGGAACAGTCATGGTGAAACAGTGGCGGTGGAAAAGTCATGGTGCAACAGTCACTGTGGAAAAGGCATGGTTGAGCAGTCATGGTGGAACAGTCATGGTTGAACAGTTATTTTCAACAGTCGTAGTGGAACAGTAATGCTGGAACAAACACCTGGAACAGTCATGGTGGAACAGCCATAGTTGAACAGTTATTTTGGAACAGTAATGGTGGAACAGTCACTGTGGAACAGTTTTGGTGAAACATTTATGGTGGAAAGCCATGGTTGAACAGTTATTTTGGAAAAGTTAAAGTGGAACAGTCATGAATGGAATAGTCACTGGGGAACAGTCATGGTGTACCAGTCCTGGTGGAATACTCATGGTGAAAAAGTCATGGTGGAACAGTTATGGTGGAACAGTCACACTGGAAGAGTTATAATCGAACAGTCTTGGTCGAACAGTCATGGCGGAACAGGCATGGAGGAGCAGTCATAGTTGAACAATCATGGTCGAACAGGCATAGTAGAACAGTCATAGAACATTCATCGTGAAAGAGTCATGGTGCAACAGGCCTATTGGAATAGTCATGGTGGAGCAGTTATGGTGGAAAAGTCATGGTAGAACAGTCATGGTGGAACAGTCATGGTGGAACATTCATAAGGGGACCATTATGGTGAAAAAGTCAAACTGAAACAAACAAAGTGGAACAGTCATGGTGAAACAGTCATAGTGAAACCATTATGATGGAACAGTTATAGTGGAACAGTCACGGTAGAACAGTCATAGCGGAACAGTCATAGTGTAACAGACATAGTGGAACACTCATGGTCTAAGACACATAGTGGAATAGTAATTTTGGATCACTCATGGTGGAACAGTCATTATGGTACAGTCGTGGTGGAACAGTCATAGTGGAACAGCCATAGTGGAACAGTCTCGGTAAAATAGTCATGGTGGAACAGTCATCGTGGAACAGTCAAGGTGAAAAAGTCATGGTGGAACACTCATAGTGGAACACTCATAGTGGAACAGTCATAGTGGAATAGTCATGGAGAAACAGTCTTGGTGGAACAGTCTTGGTGGACCAGTTCTAGTAAAACAGTCATGATGGAACAGTCATAGTGGGACAGTCATGGTGAAAGAGTCATGGTGCAACAGGCCTAGTGGAACAGTCATGGTAGAGCAGTTATGGTGAAAAAGTCATGGTGGAACAGTCATAGTGGAACATTCATAGTGGAACAGTCATAGGGGAACAGTCATAGGGGAACAGTCATGGTGGAACTGTCATGGTGCACAGTCATGATACAACAGTCATTGTGGAACAGTCATGGTGGAACAGTCATAGTGTAACAGTCACAGTTCAACAGTCATGGTGGAACTGTCACGGTAAAAAAGCCATGGTGGATATGTGATACTGGAACAGTCATAGTGAAACGGTCATGGTGGAACGGACATAGTGGAACATTCATGGTTGAACAGTCATGGTGAAACAGTTATGGTGGAACAGTCATAGGGAAACACTCGCAGTGGAACAGGCTCGGTGGAACGGTCATGGGGGAACAGTGATGGTTGAAGGGTCATGGTGAAACAGTCATGGTGAAACAGTTATAGTGGAACAGTCATGGTGGAACAGGCATAGTGGAACAGTCATGGTGGAACAGGCATAGTGGAACGTTCATGGTGAAACAGTCATGGTGAAACAGTCATGGTGGAACAATTATGGTGGAACAGTCATAGTGGAACAGTAATGGTGGAACAGTCATAGTGGACCAGTCATGGTGGAACAGTTCTGATGGAACAGTCATGGTAGAACAGTCATGGTGGAACTGTCATGGTGCAAAAGTCATAGTCGAAGAGTCATGGTGGAACTGTCATGGTGGAACAGTTATGGCGGAACAGTCATAGTGGACCAGTCATAGTGGAACAGTCATGGTGGAACAGTCATGATTGAACAATCATGGATTAAGTGTCATAGTGGAACAGTCATAGTGGAACAGTCATAGTGGAACAGTCATGGTGGAACAATCATAGTGGAACAGTCATTGTAGAACTGTCATGGTGGAAAAGACATGGTGGAACAGTACTAGTGAAACAATGATGGTGGAACAGTCATGGTGGAACAGTCATAGTTTAACAGTCATGGTTGGAACAGTCATAGAGCATCATGTTGGAACGGTTATGCTGGAACAGTCATAGTGTAACAGTCATGGTTGGAACAGTCATAGTGGATCATGTTGGAACAGTTATGGTGGAAGAGCATTGGTGGAACAGTGATGGTGAGACAGGAATGGTGCAAAAGTAATTGTGGAAGAGTAATGGCGCAATAGTAATGGAGCAACAGCAATAATGGATTAGCAGTGGCGGAATGGTTATGGTGAAACCACAATGGTGGAACAGTAATGATGGAAAGGTAATAAAGGAACGGGGATGGTGCAACAGTTATGGTCCAACATTGTTTGTGGAACAGTAGTCAAATCTAGTCTTCTCTAGTCATCCTTAGTCATCCAAATCATACCTAGTCATTCGTAGTAATCCTAGTCATCCGTAGTCTTCCCCGGTCATCCCAAACATCCCTAGTGATCTCTAAGTCATCTGCAGTATTTTGTAGTCATCCCTAGTCATTCAAACTCATCCCGGTCATTCCTAGTCATCCTAAGTCATCCCTTTCCTCCCTGGTCATCCCTAGTCATCCGGGGGATGTCTAGTCATGAACAGTCATGTCTACTCATTCCTAGTCATCCCTAGTTATACCAGTCATCCCTAGTCATCTCTAGTCATCCCTTGTCATCCAAGTCATCCCTAGTCAACCCTACTTATCCCAAGTCATCCCTAGTAATCCCTAGTCATCCCTCGACATCCCAGTCATCATTAGTCATCCCTAGTCATCCCTAGTCATCCCCAGTCAACCCTAGTCATCCATAGTCATCCACGTCATCCCTAGTCATCTCCTTTCATCCCTAGTCATCCCAGCCATCCCTAGTCATCCCTAGTCATCCCAGTCATCCCTAGTCATCCCTACTCATTCCTAGTCATACCAGTCATCCCTAGTCAACCCTAGTAATCCCTAGACATCCCAGTTATCATTAGTTATCCCTAGTCATCCCTAGTCATCCCTTGTCATCCCCAGCCAGCCCTAGTCATCCATAGTCATCCCTTCTCATCCCAGTTATCAATAGTCATAACTAGTCATCCCTAGTCATCCCTAGTCATCACTAGTCATCCCTAGTCATCCCTAGTCATCCCAGTCATCCCTAGTCATCCCTAGACATCCTAGTCATCCATAGTCATCCCTAGTCATCCCAGTCATCCCT